CCCTTATATAGGTGCTCCTGTCTTCCCCCACAAAATGAGACCCGGTAACACTGTATCCTTCCGCCACATTCACCGCGCGCTCAAAATTGCCTGGACGATTCGAAGGGCTCTGTGCCCAGCTACCGTCCCCTGCCTGGCTAAAGGCACCACGAATCTTGGTCTCGCACACGGCAGAGATAGGGGCTAGCGAACACTCGGCAGAAGGATCACAGGGACTATTTTATCCCACTCGAACACTGTACCTCATTGACTAGGCGTGACGTCACGCACAGACAGGGGCGGGGCCTCACAGCGCCACCGGCTGAGCCAGGCCAAAGACGGGCTCCGAGCTCAGCACGGCACAGGGAATACCACGTGGTCTTGTAAACCGCTGATTGGCTGATATCGCGCGTTCACGTATGCTGCGGGCTACCATTGGTTAGGGCGAGAGAAAGACGCAAACGGCGGGAGCCGCAGCTCGGAGAGGGGCTGCGCTTCGGCGCTGAATGGCGGGGTGGGCAGAGCCAGGGGGCCTGTGTGGAGAGCCCGGGTGCTGCAACGTGCGCGGCCCGGACAGCCTTGCCAGCCCCGCCCCCACTGCCCCCCCCACTGCCTTTCCCTACGCTGTGCCAGCCCCCCCCCATGCCAGCCCCGCCCCCACTGTGCCTGCCCCACTGCCCCCGCCATGCCAGCTCTTCCCCCCACTGCCCCTCCGCCTGCTGTGCCAGCCCCCCACCATGCCAGCTCTACCCCCGCGGTGCCAACTCCCACCATGCCTGCCCCTCCCCCTGCCATGCCAGCTCTGCCACCCCACTGCGGTGCCAACCCCCCACCATGCCTGCTCTTCCCCCTCCACTGCCCCTCCCCCTGTGGTGCCATCACCGCCCCTGCTCTCCCCCTGCCGTACCAGCCCTGCCCACTCCCCTACTGTCCTCCCTGCTGTGCCAGCCCTGCCCCCCCAGCACCCTCCCTCTGCTGTGCCAGCCCCATCCCCACTGCTCCTCACCTACTGTCCTTCTCCCGGCTGTGCCAGCCCTGCCCCCAGCATCCTCCCTCTGCTGTGCCAGCCCTGCCCCTAATGCCCCTTCCCTCATTGTGCCAGCCCTGCCTCCCACTGCCCCCTCCCTGCTATTTCATCGCTGCCCCCAGTGCCCCCCTGCTCTCCCAGTCCCTCCCCCCACCGTGCCAGCCTTGCTCTCAGCACCACCCCGCTTTCCCTTGATCCCTCTCTCTTCAGTGCCAGCCCTGCCTCCACTTTCCCTTGCTCCCCCAGCCATGCCAGCCTTGCCCCACAGTACCCTTGTTGCCCTTCTCCCCACTGTGCCTCTCACTTCCCCTGGGCCGTCCCCTCCTCCTGCTGTGCCAGCCTTGCCCTCCAGTGCACTGTGCTCTTCCATGGCCCCTCCCCCTGCCATGCTAGCTTTGCCCCCCTCTTTCCCTTGCTCCCCCATGGCTCCTCCCCCAAGCTGCGCCAGCCCTGCTTCCCCCCCCCCCCCCACCTTCCCTTGCTGACTCAGGTGTATTCAGTTATAATTAGATGTTTTTGCATAAGGCCAACCTTAGAAACTCAGCCTGGGCTCTGGCAGTCAAGCTGGTTTTTTGGCTGCTCAGGCATCATTATCAGGAATAAAGGTTTTGCAGGACAAACTTGTGCCCTCAGCTACTTCTGGCAGCAGCCATATCCTCTTCAAGTTATGGCCTTAGCAACACCTGTGGAACCTAATGGCCTTCATCGGGTTTGCACAGCTGTAACTCACTGGAAATTAGCAAACAATTTTACCATAACCCACAAGGACAAATGCAGTCCAGCTCCCACCCTCAGCCCTGCAGAGCCAGCAGAAGAGCAAGAAAGCAGTACAACCTAATCATCACTAAAGTCAGCATAAATTACTCTGAATGCACAATAGGAACAGCTCTGCTGAATGGAAAGGTACCATGTATACAAGGGATTTTTTTTCTTTTAAGAGCAAAATAACATTTTGAGTCATTGGAGGGGAGAATGCACTCCATCTCAGAAGACATCACAATAACAGTTCAGTGATCCATGACGACTGTTCTGAAAAATGCGTCAAGGAGCTAACTGAGCTTCAGTACAGAGAACTGAGGAGAGACACTGGCTTTCAAAGAAGCCAAACGGGATTGGATGGGTAGGTGGGTGGACATCAGTGCAGCATGGGGATTGGCTGAGGGGAAGGCTTTGACATCCCCCAACCTCGACTGCCTCCCCCTCCCTTACCCCTTTTAAGTAAAAATAAAAAGGTGATTGTAAAGCTGTCATTATAGCTAAATCAATGGAAAGTAAATACTTAGCGTACCCTTCCTCTTGAAAAGATAATTATGGATTTCCATGAGTCACTGTACATCTGAGCAAAAATCATATAAGCAGACATGAAATGCGCAAGAAGGAACTTCACCCAGATTGGCCTGTTTTTTTATCTGCCTGGTCTTCTTCTCTGTGCATGAAATTTGTACTGGTGAAAGGTTCCAGAGAGAAATTTTCCATCTCTCCCCAGCCAAAAAAAACAAAAACAAAAAAACCCCGAAAACCCCAGCCCTTGGTTAACTTCAAGGTTATTTCCCAGTTTCCTAAATGACTGTAATACATCATCATTTATTCGATACTTGTATAAATAAGATATCATACAGTGTTCCATGTTAATTGTTAAACCACCCATTTGCCTTTGCACAGAATTTGCTGAACATTTCTCCTTGGTGGAGATAATTCATATCAGACCAAAAAAAAATTTCCCCTTTAAGTAAAAATCCTGTGGTTGCTTCTTCATCGATGTGAGAATGAAAACAATGTTTTCTAAACTGAGAAATGCAAGAGTCTTTTCTCACCATTAACTCAAAAACCTCAGAACAGAGACTTCCTAGGCGGTATGTGGCTTGTATGCAGTGCAGTCAAGCCTGGTAAGTTTGGGAGAAATCATTTTTATGATAAAAAAGGTTTATACAATTATAAACAATTAAATAATTGATGTGCATGGTCAGTGAATACCTGCTAAAATGTGAACAGCTGGCTGCAGTGTTCTTGACTAAGTGTTACTGTGAAGGGTACCTTAGAAATGCAGAGATAAAACATGCACCTACAATACATGAACCCCTAAGAGGATTCACAAGGCCCCAGGGTCTACTCTTGTGGAATTCACTGCTGGACAGAGGCCATGTGACATCAGAGCAGGGAGAACTGCCCCGCCTTCTTTAGCAGCCTACCAGGGTGAGGGGCTGCTGCTACATACATGAAGGAAAATGTTAAGATATGTTCACACACTCTCTTTACTATTTTACTAAAGCCCACAATTTTCTACAAATGCTAGGCTCTATGTTAAAGTGTTGGGTTTTTTATCTTTTCCCTAGGGAGAGATTTGGGGCAGAGATTATCTTTTTGTTCTGTGTTTGCACAGTGCAGAGCAGGTCAGTGACTGGAGCACCAAGATGCTACACTAACACAAATCATAATAAATAATGACAACAATGTGAAGTGATGTGCTGCCCCTTTGATAACAACATTACAGAAAACTCTCTGGCCAAACCATAGCAACAACTGGGAAGTCACCCCTCACATTCCATTCACCTCACTGCAAAGCCTGCATTGGCAATTTAAATAACATTACAAAGTGAAACAGTGGTTTCTTTTTTCTTTAAACAAATACACACACAGTAAAAATGCCAAATGCCACTCCTGTCATTCATTTAAATATACAAACATCAGGAAGTGAGAGTTAATGCTTCCATAGTAACCTTAACACACACACACTGTACAGGCTGTATATACATACAATGTCCAGGGTCTGCATGGGGTGAGGTGGTGGAAACTGGGTGTGCCACAAAGAAGGGCGGTGGGAAGCACATCTTCTTTCCTCCACCCCCTAGAAACAAAATTTACGTATCTAGCTCAAGACTTCTCTTTTCTGGAGCACTGTCCTAAGGGCAGCCGCAGCAAGGGAGAATGGTTGGCAGTGCAGCTCGGTTAGTAGGGAGCGTAGAGAGGGCAGGGAAGGAGGAAGTGGCGGAACCAATGTGGAGACTCAGGCCCAGATCTTCAAAGGGGCTGAGACACCTAGCTCTCAATTATTTCAGTGGGTGCTAGGCATCTAAATCCCTTTTAGGTTTGGGCCCCACAGCCCCCAAGCAGAGGACTTTGTGTGACCCTAAGAATCCCTCAGTGCCAACTGGCAAAGGGTTCACTGTCATGTAATAGCAACTGCTATCAAGCCTGACAAACTCACTACACTTAATACATTGCTGTTACAGTATTTATCGATAAAGAATGTAATGTAGGATGTCAAATGAAAGCTTATATCGGGGTGGTAGTCATAAGCTTTGTAAGATGTATGTACGGGCATTATTCAAGAAGCTCTATGTATGTATTAAACTATGTAACTATGTTTAAACTATGTAGCCAGGTAGGGTAGATAAACAAGTTTTTCCCAGGACAAAGGAATGTTGATTTACCTGCCTGCCTAGGTCTCTGATGTAAATCCAGCATTGTGTAAATCAACACAAAGCAAGCTTCCTTTGCTTACTAAGTCAACAGGAAAAACACATTAACAGGAGAATGAGAAAGACAGTGTGACCTCAGCACACGGAAGAACAAATAGTAGGGGAGAAGAACTTCATCTGGGGATACACTTCAAAGGGGTACAGTTCAAAAGTTGTCTGGATTATAAAAAGGAGGAAAAGAAGGTTCTTACTGGTGCATCACTGAAGGAGCAAAAAGGCCTGCACTTTTCATATCCATGAAACCTGGATTCTGGCTATGTGGTTGGTGACGCTTGGAGAATGCTTTAGATGCTTTAACTTGGACCAAGATTTTAGCCTGCTAAAGTTATGTTCAGTCTCACAGAAACATGTTATACTTTTGTTTTATTTGTCACCATCTCTGTTTCTATTATCTTTACTCAGTATCACTTGAATCTCTATCTTTGTTAATAAACTTCTCTTTCTTTTATCGTAAATGTGAATCAAGTAAGCGGGTGTGTACACTATTTCTCTGGAGGCAGCTGACTTGGTAATTACTGAGAGTGTCCAGTGAAAAGGGCTGAATACCACAGGCAACCAGGCTCGTCAAGGGGGCTCAGAGACCGGGGTGCACCAAGAGTTACCTGCAAGGCAAAGTAAAGGCTGGTAAATTCCTGAGAAGTTTGTCTGGGGTGGCTAACAGACTGGGGAGACAGGCTAGCCCGGGCAGAGGGGTAACAAGTTCTGAGAGCCCCAAGAAAGTGTCATTGTGGTCTGCTGCAGATGCCCCCCCCCCCCCGAGGGCAAACTAGGAGATATCCAGGAGGGGATCCACCTCCTGAAGGAGGAAATAATGTGTTTAGCACTCCTTAGTCTAGGCAGTGCCAATAGAAGTTCTGCCAATGTAAGGCTTGCTGAAAGGGGATCTGAAAGCACTTTTACACTAAATTTGACATTAGCTGGAAATCTCTTTCCCAATTTCTAGGGAAACTACCATAAAACAAGATAGGTCAAGCCAAATCCTCTTAATGCTCAGTTGTCATCAATTCCTACCCTGACACTCAATATGAACATTCAGAGTCCAAGATATCAGATGTATCTTTTCTTCTGAAATCTTAGTCAACCCTCATGGTTTGCTTTGCAGGATCAGGACTTCCCATCTTATCTTTAGATTGATTAGTAAATATATATAATTAAGAATCAAACCACATACATTATGATTTTATCATCTACAAATAAATAAAAGTTAGCCACAAGCTGCAACTATATAATTTTGGATTAATTCACCGTATTTGCTATACCCATAAATTATTTCATAAATCATCCATTGCTTAACCACCCACTCACTGCCCTACATTTCCCATTTCTGTTATGTAAATATCATTTCAATATTAAATATTGAATCTGTAAATTACATTTACAGATTAAAGTTCAATTCTTATAGAGAGAGGGGAAACAATCCTGGTCGTCCATCTAAATTTTTCCATACTGAACTGATCTGGATGTGCCACACGTCCATTGATAACCCACAATCTATAAAACAGTTAGTTTTCCGTATCAGCCATTTGGTAACCAACTGGCACAAGCAAAAAGTTCTGCAGGTTTCTTAGTGGGAAGGGCCTTTCAACATTACACATCTTGCCCACACATGAGTCTCCCTAGCAAAGCCACAATTGGCAGCAAATAACATTTAGCAAATGAGGGGTTTTGTATTTTCCTAGCCTTCAATTTCCTTCTTTTGGCGGAAACAAATGGAATTGTATTTCCTTGCAATGACTGAGAGTCCAAAATAACTCAAACATGCTGAGGAGGTGAAAAGGTACATCACACAAACCAACACCCTGCGAGCCTGAACAATTAAGTTAATAGATTACAAGGGCAAAAGGGACCATTGTGGTCATCTTCTAGTCTGACCCCCAGTACAACGCAGGCCATAGAACTTCCCTCAGGTAATTCCTTCTGAACTATAGCAGATCTTTTAGAACAAAATCCAATCTTGATTTTAAAATTGCCAGTGATGGAGAATCTACCATGACCCTCGGTAAATTGTTCCAGTGTGTAGTTACCCTCACTCTTACCCTCATGCCTTATTTCCAGTCTAAATATGTCTAGCTTCAACTGCCTGCCACTGGATCATATCATACCTTTGTCTGCTAGATTGAAGAGCCCATGATCAAATATTTGTTCCCCATGTAGGTGTTGACAGGCTGTAACCAAGTTACCCCTTAACCTTCTCTTTGTTAACCTAACAAGATGGAGCTCCTTGAGTCTAACACTATTTCTAATCCTATAATTACTCTCATGGCTCTTTTCTGAACCCTCTCCAATTTATCAACATCCTTCTTGACTTGTGGGCACCAGAACTGGACACGGTATTCCAGCTGTGGTCGCACCAGTGCCAAATACAGAGGTGAAATAACCTCTCTCCTCCTACTAAAAATTCCCCTTTATGCATCCCAGGATCCCATTAGCCTTTTTGGCCACAGCGTCCTGGGAACTCATGTTCAGCTGACTATCTACCATGACCCTCAATTCTTTTTCAGGATCACTTGTAGGAGTGGGATTTTATATTTGTATTTCAGGTTTAATAATGTAGTAATGTATGACTTAATTTCATCCCGCCAGCCACCCTTTTTGAATAGCAGAAAGTAATGACCCTCTGGGGCACTGGTAGAAATGCATCTGACAGACTGCCAGTGACTGTACTGATGTTAAGGCAGGGACAGACCAGAACAATCCTTATGACTGATTATGGTCACCCTTTTGTTTTAGGACAAGATTCTAAGAGGTCCAGATCCATACCCTAGTCATGGGCACCCTGGGCGCATGGGACCCCCACAATGAGCTGGTACTGAGAGCTTGCGGAGTCAGTCGACGCTACACCCGGCTCATGAGACAGCTAATCGTGTCCGACACCATCAGGTGGTCCAGAGACATCTACACGGAACACATCACAGGACACCAACAGTACCAGGTCGAGTAACCGAGAACACCACCCAGGGAAATAACCCATTTCCTTCCCTGATGACCAAGGGACGCACCCCACCCATGTACTTATTCTCTTCACCAATACTGGCTTGGACTCTTAATACATTCCATGGGTGGCATACCCGAGCCCATTTATCCACTGACGCTTTAAAAACTCCCACACCTCAATCTGTATCTATGCTAGTTATGTGGTATGTACCTCATGAACTTTGTAACCGATACTTGCAATCCCCCATAACCCAAGCCCAACCCCAGACGTACAGTACCTTCCCTCTTAGCTTGTGTAAATTTGATTTTAAACATTAACTTTAATAAAAATTTGCTATAAGGTCTTGCTTCTTGTATGCATTGCAAACTAAGTTGTGTAAGTAACCATATAATCCTTTCCAAAATGAATACCTTTGAAGGTCTCTGTAAAAGACTGTGTGAATGAGGAATGTATACCTCAGGCAAAGATAAGGTGTGAAGGCCATTGTTATAGCCAGATGGTCAAGGAAGGAGGAGTGAAGAGACTTAACACCAGAGAACCATCAACGCGCATCCATGATTGAGGAAGGGCAGATTGACAACTCTGAGGTGGAGGCTGGCATGCCTAAAGACAGGACAATTGATTAAATCGAAACCAGGACAGAATGACCATCTCAGAGGTGTTTTGGAATGTTAACATCAAAAGATAACACCAAATAAGGAGTAACCGGTCACAAACTGACACTGCAAAATCCATAGACTTCAACAGAGAAAAAAAAGACTATAAGAACAGGGTGCTTGGCCATGGGACTTTGGGTTCATCTTGCCACAACTCCAGGAGCATCGGATCGCAACCGACAGAGCCCGGCTCCCCTCTGCGACCAATCTGGCTGTCCACTAGATTCATCCAGACTCTGGACTGGTAACTATAAACATCATTTGGGGGGTGGGGGGGGATGTGGGTGTGTGCTGCTGTATTCTCAATAAATGCGGCATATTGCCTTTTTCTCTGAAAAAGATCCTGTGTGCTTCTTATAAGCATAACCTGCTGCTTCCCAGGATAGAGTCCCCCATCCCGTAACGATGGCCTACATTCTTTGTTCCTAGATGTGTACATTTACATTTAACTGTATTAAATACATGTTGTCTGCTTGTGCCCAGCTTACCAAGTGATCCAGATTGCTCTGCATTGGTGACCTGTCCTCTGCATTATTTATCACTCCCCCAATCTTTGTCAGCTGCAAACTTTTTCAGTGATCATTTTATGTTTTCTTCTAGGTCATTGGTAAAAATATTAAATCATCTAGGGCCAAGAACTGATCCCTGCAGGACCCCTCTAGAAAAACTCCCACTTGATGATGATTCCCTGTTTACAATTACATTTTGCAACCTACCAGTTAGCCAGTTTTGAATCCATTTTACATGTGCTGTTAATTTTGTATAGTTCAATTTTTTTAACTGAAGTGTCATTTCAGTCCAAAAGCATGGTTAAGCTGCATGCTGTATTGTTACAACCGCCACCTGATTTACTGCTTTCACCATGTCCTATCACAGGGCCTCAGTTAGTATTGATAATGTCAACAAGCAGGAGCCTAAAAATAATAATAAATATGTAGTTCGGATAACATGAAGGTGGTTCCTGCATCTGAAGTAATAACTAGATCCTGGGTTAAACAAACTCAAGAGGTTGAAGGCAATAATATAAGGCTAGGGTGCCATTACTACCAAACTGTGCTGACGTGCTGCTCCTAATGGCCATCGCTCCCCCTTCATTTAAATGGAGGGGGGAGCCAGTGATTAAGCATTCCAAATCTTGAGGCAGTGTGCTCCTGCAGATTGTCATGGGACACCCAGGGAATCATGGGTTGCTAATTTCTCACCTTTTTTCAGGTGCCCTTGGTCTGTTTTTTTTTTAATCCACTGGGGTGGCAGTATTGTTGTTGCCAGTGTAAATCCTGATCCTGCAAGGTGCTGAGCACCATGGGTGCCACGGGCAGGCAGCACCTTGTAGAATTGGACCCATTGAAATCAGAGGGCTAGCAGGACGAGTACTACGGCCTACTCACCCCTTCAGAGGGGTGAAGAATCTACCAGTGCCAGGGGATGTGAAGATTGATAGGCGGGGAATGAAGTGGCAGACAAGAGCGTAAAACTGGCCTGAAGTCAACAGGGATTATGAATAACTACAGTTTTAAAAACCATACCAATTGTGCCACTTTCAGCCCCAGCAATCTATTTGTACTCTGAAGGCTCTTCATCAAGAACATGGCTAGAATTTAATTTTAAAGGGAAACTTAGGTTAGCAATACTTCATTACGTGGGTCCGTGATACTGAACCAGTCTATCTGACCTTTGGGTTTTAGAGTAATTTTAAATGTTAAAAACTGCCCTCTGCACTAGTATTTCAGAAGAATTAAGACAGTGCTTAATTTGTGCCAGGGCTTGCCAGGGCTGAGCCCTGGCACAGCTAGGCTTGGCAGTTCATAGCCCTGGCCCCTCTGGGCTTGTCACATCAGTTATGAAAGTACAAAAATTGCTTGAGTTCCAGCACCTCTTTCATCACAAATTAAGCACTGGACTAAGTGCATGAGAAGTTTAACTTTTGTAAACCAAGCCATTTTTTTCAGTCTTGATTCTGATTAGACACTTCCTACATAAAGGAGAACCATTCCAAATGTTCACTGCCTTACTGCTTCACTTCATCAACTTGTTTCAAACCTTTGAAATTTTTTAAAGATTGATGTTGCATTATAAAGATTTTATTAGCACAGTTGGAATGTTCACCTAACTCACTTCTGGCTATGTCACTTGTGAGTACTGCAGATCATCTCAGATGAATGGTAATAAAACCTTTACATCCTGCCAGCTTTGATTCTGCATACACCATATATGTTTTAGAAAAACTATTCTAAGACCATTTTAAAATGTCATTGGGATTGTTTCTTGTCTCCCTGTAGCTCTAGAGTCAGGAGCCTTCATTATCATAAGCCCAGCTGAACAGGGCTGAGAGATATTTCAGTAAAAGTAAAGCACCTCTAATATAATGGTTGGTCCCTAAAAAAGCCTTTAAGGGCCTTTTCAGAGCTACATCTGAGTGCTGGGTTCCATGGGAAAAGAACGCAAATCTCCCATCTGTCGACCTTTAAAACCAGGAAATATTAGTTGTAATATCCTGACATTTTAAGATCTTGAAAATATTTTCCTGCCCATCCTGAGATCCTTGAATCTTGCCCGTCACCACAGGCCAGGATAATATTGGGAGGAAAATTGCCCATTTGAGAGAGAAAGGATGGTTCAGTGGTTAGAGCACTGGCCTAGGACGTGGGTTCAATTCCCAGCTCTGCCATGACCTTGGGTAAGTCATTTAGTCTCTCTAGGTACATCTACTTTGCAATAAAAAAATCTGTGGCACCGAGTCTGAGCCTGGGTTAACTGACAGGCTCGCAGGGCTCAAGGCTCAAAACTGCAGCATAGACACTCAGGCTAGAGCCCAGACTCTGAGACCTACCCACCTCGCGGGGTTCCAGAGACCAGGCTCCAGCCTGAGCCCGAACATCTACATTGCAATTTTTAGCCCCAGGAGCCTGAGTCAGCTAACCTGCACCAGCCATGGCTGTGCTGCAGGTCTTTTATTGCAACGTTGACATACCATTTCTGCCTCAGTTCCCCCTCTGTAAAACAGGGATAATATTTCTTCCTTACCTCACAGGGTTGTTGTGAAAATGAACACATTAAAGAGTGTGAAGCGCTTTGGAATCTACTGATGAAAAACACTAAGAAATAAGCATGATTAATATTTCAAGAGGAAACACTGCTCCAGTGGACTGATTTTTTTAAAAGGTAGCTGCCTTGGGGCTGGGGGTGTGCTTGTAAATCCTGGAGAAAGAGATTAGGGGAAAATGAGGTGGTCAAATGTGTACAACAAACATTTATCACATGGCTATCATCATCGCTATAGGTCAGGTACATGTCTCCTCTTGCTTAACACTAAGCTATAGAATGGTGAAGCCAAAATTAAAAAAGTAAGTTTGGTTCCATTTCACTGTGAGGCCATAGCTACGTGCCCATCATCTACAGAATACGGACAGTTTCTCCGAAAATTTTCTTTCCCACAACCACCCACCTGAGTTCCTCCTACAGGAGGAACCCCACCTCTAAGGATGAGAGTTCAGTCTTCATGGCCCATTCAGTCCTTGGCCTCTCCCGTGAGACTGTCAGCAATGTCTGGTAGTGTCAATGATGTGGTTTTTGTTATGTGAGCAAAGATTCCAGCAGGAATGGGATTGAGATACCCAACAGTTCATTATGTTGAATCATATTAAAGAAGTTCTGTATTAAAATCACAAATGAGTTTGATTCCCCATAGTTTAAATTCCAGGGTATTACTAATTAAGAGGTCTCTTGGTTTTTGGTACTGTTTCTCTCCCTCTCTGTGTGAAACTTGCAAGCTGCTATTGTGTTAGTACATTCTAAGACAGAGTCTGTTCTCAAAGCAATTCTTTGTAACAACAACTACACACAGAGAGAGAGACTCAAAGTAATACTCTGTAACAACAGAAACAGCACCCAGAGACTCCCCGCCCTTTTGTTGTATTCATCTCGCTTTGTTATCAATTGTGATTAAAACAGAGATAGAGGATGTATGTGGATGGATGCTTGGTGTGGATAATAACTGAATGATCAGGGAGGTGCCAGCCTAAGAATCCAGTGTCCATCACCTGAAGAAGGCGTCAAGTGGAAATAACCAGAGGACCCCCAGAGGGCAGACTGGAATCCACCCAACAGCCTCAAGGATGGGAGAACCAAAGAACAAGATAACATCTGGCAGCACAGAGCCATCAGGAATGTGCCATCTGCTGACTGATTCAGCAACAGCATGATGAAGCAATTCCCATAGACTGGCATAGGAAGAAATTCCTATAAAAATGGACTCTAGAAGGTGAGAACTTTGGGGTCTGATTCTGCAAACCAACTTCCAGGAGCATCAGACGAGCATCTGACAAGGCCCTGCTCCCGCCTCATGTCCAGGCCACCTGGCCAGTGGCTTGGCATGAACAACTCTAAGGCTGATAACTATGATAACAACCTTGCAGAACCTGTGTGTGTGTATGAATGAATGTGTGAATAAATATGAAATTGAATGGAATGTTAAAGCTATAACTAACTGCTTACTATGATTCTTTCTGTAGTCACAATAAATGTGGCATTTTGCCTTTTCCCCTTTAAAAAGATCCTGCTGGTTTTTATTTTATTGGTATAACAATTTCACATAGATACTCAAAGTTTCCAATAGTAATAATCTTCCAGCACAACTGAGCTAAACTGGAATCTAAGACCTGAAACTGAAATACTCTGTGTCGGATTCCTCCACTCCACATATCCTCCTAATTGATTTAGGGTATGTCTACACAGGGATTACAAAAGCCTGTGGCTGGCCTGGGTCAGCTGACGTGGGCTTGTGGGTCTCGGGCTCCGGATTGAAAAATTGCTGTGTGGACATTTGGGGGAGGGTCCCTGAGCCCAGGCTTCAGCCTGAGCCCGAACATCTACACAGCAATTTTTAGCCCTGCAGCCTGAGTCCCATGAGTCCAACTCAGCTGACTCAGGCCAGCCACAGCCATGCTGCAGGTCATTTATCCTGGTGTAGTCGTTGAAAGCACAGTTCGTACCACTTGCGTTTAAGCAATTCAAAAGCAAAATTTAAATCATTAAACCATTAAGCCAGTTACACTCTCAAGACTCTACTTGAGCATGCGGAAGCTTGAACTAGTACAAAAAATAGCTACTCGCCTCTTAAATAGGGCAGCCCAGTATGATGAACCCAGCTCCTTTGCTCCGTATTCTGCACTAGCAACTTGCCCATTTTGGGGTGTGATTCAAGGTGTTTATTATCCACAAAACTCTCAGTGGCCCACTCATTCTATGCTCCACTGCAGCAGCAGCAGCTTCTTCCCACCATGAAGTTGTCTTCAAGGCTGAACTCCAGGGGGCAAGCTGCAAGTCATTTCTGATGGAAGACCCTTGGCTTTGACATTTTCTCCTGGAGATTCACCAGAGCTCAATTCTGGTAAGTTTGGGGAATCTGAAAAGACACACACACACTGATTTTTTTGGATTGGGTGTATAGCCAAAGAGAATTTATCCCACCAATCAGAGAGTGTAATACTAACTGATCTGAGCCAGTTGTTGGCAACTGTTCTTTTTAATCTTTGCAATATATTGAGCGATCACAGAGAGAGCGAGCATCTCGCTTTGAGCAGTTCACCTTTCTGGGGACTGACTTACTGCTTGGGAAAGTGTGGAAGGCAATGTCTCACACTGCTTATGAAGCAAGTCCAGCACATTCATAGATACTAAGGTCAGAAGGGACCACTATGATCAGCCAGTCCGACCCCTTGCACAACGCAGGCCACAGAACTTCACCCACCCACTCCTGCGAAAAACCTCTCACCTATGTCTGAGCTACTGAAGTCCTCAAATCGTGGTTTAAAGACTTCAAGGAGCAGAGAATCCTCCAGCAACTGACCTGTGCCCCATGCTACAGAGGAAGACGAAAAACCTCCAGGGCCTCTTCCAATCTGCCCTGGAGGAAAATTCCTTCCCGACCCCAAATATGGCGATCAGCTAAACCCTGAGCATAGGGGCAAGATTCACCAGCCAGATACTACAGAAAATTCTTTCCTGGGGATGAGGGCAGGGACACAATTGCCTTTCCTACACTCAGCAAGGAAACTGTTGCTGGGACACTGGATTGCATGAACTGATTCCATCTCTTATCCTTCCAACAGTGCAGCTAGCACATCCACATCCATGTTACAACCGCTGAAGCAGTGCAGTCAGAGATTCTGAAAGCAATCATCCTCTGGTGCCCAGTCCCAAAAAAGCAGGGCTTGTGGGCAATTACCAAATACAAAGCACTGCATTGTGGGATGAGTTGGAGGAGTGGTTCAATTGGTGTAACGATGATGCTCGTGACTTCCTGTCCAGGCTGGGAAGAAGTCATTGTAGACTGCACCAGCTCAGCAGAACCTGAGCTAGAGACTTTCTCCCAGCTACTGCAGCCAATTACTACAAAAAATGCTGGGACAGCTGTTATGCCAGGATGCTAGATGTTAAATTTCAAAAATGTGGCAAGCTTCACGCTTTCAAGGCCAGTGTGCTTGAGCGTCACATCAGAAGCAGACTTCATTGGGGCAGGCTGCACAAACAAACTGCTTCTATAAAAGCACCAGGCAGCCCCAAATAAAGGCTTGCTCTTGCTCATTCTCTTTCGTTCTCTGAAAATAGGCTGCCAAGAAACCCAAGCAAACTGGGAAACCTTTACAACTGCAACTCCCTTTTTAATATCTGTTAAAAAAAAAACTACTAACCATAAAAAAAAACCTAGTATTCCTTTCCCTCAAGAAAACTAAGCTCTTAATCACAGGTGCCTCTAATGAGGTGTGAAGCTTATGGAGCAGTTTCTGAACCTTGCTGCAGGGTCCCAGAATTAGGTTGATGGGAGATTGGTATAATCTGTCAAAAGATGGCATCTTTTCATGTCCAACACTCCAATAGTCACATGAGTCAGTGGCAAGAGGTCTTCCCTACTGTGCCAGCATGACCCTCAGCTAGATTGTATCTGGCAGGGGGAAGAACACGAGAGAAGTGGCATGTAGAGAGAAAGAAGTCAGTGAGGAAGGGTGCATGTCAGAACTGGAAAGTTAAGATCAAAAGAGAGAAAGCCCTTGAAGCACGTGAAACCACATTAAACAGAAGCAGAGGTGCCCATGCAGGGGCATGAGCTTTCACTGCCACTTCAGAGAAACTGGAGGAGACATGACTCCCTAAGAGGAGTCCTTCTCATTTGACTCATGTATGCAGGCTGCCAGGGGCAATAGTGTTGCAATGCATTGATCATTGCTCTCTCATGGCCAATTGAACATAAGAACGCCCATACTGGGTCAGACCAAAGGTCCATCTAGCCCAGTGTCCTGTCTTCTGACAGTGGCCAATGCCAGGTACTTCAGAGGGAATGAACAGAACAGGTAATCATCAATGATCCATCCCCTGTTGCCCATTCCCAGCTTCTGGCAAACAGAGGCTAGGGACACCATCCCTGCCCATCCTGACTAATAGCCATTGATGGACCTATCCTCTATGAATTTGTCCAGTTCTTTTTTGAACCCTGTTATAATCTTGGCCTTCACAACATCCTCTGGCAAAGAGTTCCACAGGTTGACTGTGCATTGTGTGAAGAAATACTTCCTTTTGTTTGTTTTAAACCTGCTGCCTATTAATTTCATTTGGTGACCCCTAGTTCTTGTGTCAGGAGATGTTCTTGTGTTTGCAGATGGCTGACATTCTGAGATAGAAGAGTGGCAGGTGGAACTGCAAATCAGTGAGGGGCAAGAGACCCTTATCTTAACCACATTAAGACCCTTCAAGACAAGTGCTAGAGAAATGCTAGATTTTATAATAACTATTGTCTATAAAATGGGTGCTTCAGGCAAGTCTTCCCCTGCCCTGGCACTGGGAATGAACAGAGAAAGGAGGCAAGACATTGGCTACACATGTATCAGAGATAGCCAACATTCTGTGGAAAGTTATTTTATTTCAGTATTTCCACACACTCTGTCACAGATCATGCACTAGTCCTTCCCCCTTCCAATCCACAATATCACAGCCTGGGAGATATGGGGGCATATCAACCGCCCACTTCATAACATGGGCACCCAGGCTCCGTGACACCAGGGGCCACACCAGCAGGTTGCCAAGAGGCAAAGGGCAGTCTTTTTACATAATTGCTTTTAATTTTAAAAATCTTCAAATAACTTAAAAGATTTAACGATTGAGCTCAATGGCAGTAAAAACCTGCAGTTGAGCTAGTTGGTCCTCACGCTGAAGTTACAGGGAACACAAAGAATCTTATATGTGACCCCAGCAATAGCAACACACACCAAGGCATTCCCAGAGCCAAGAGTGCAGAACAACAGACTTGGGTTCTGGTCCTGTTACAATCATTTGTCTCCATGGGCTGCCCTTCCTTCCTTGAACTGGGGAAGTGGCCATGAGCTGCAATATTCACATTTTATTCTGGGCATCCTTGTTCTGTATTTTAATTTCATATAGAAAGTAGCCCATGAATGGGTAAGTCTCAGAAGCGCTCCTGGCTATTACTCTTCTCTCAATACAACTAGATTTTTTACTGAATTTTAACACTGATAGATGCCAGCTTGACAACTCTTACAAATGGATGCAGATGAGTGTCAACTTCTAGCACACTGGCCTCCCCCTCTTCCCCCACATCCTTCATGCCTCAGCCCTGACCTGATCTAACTACTCTCTGTGGAGCACATGGTCAACTCAAGCTCTGTGACCCATTATATCTTTGGCCTATGCTGAGACTGCCAACAATGGGGCGATTGTTGTCAGTTGTGGTAGCTGCCTGCACGATGAGAGCACCTGGCTCCCTAGGAACCAAGCTGAGGCCACATCCTTGCAACTAGATCAGTGGGGAAAAAGTTTTACATTTCAGAATTGAACAGATGAAATGATGAAAGTGACTGAAGTGAAATGGAACAAAGTCTTGCAGGAGAGAGAAAAAGAAAGACAGCTTCAATCTCCATTTGATACATAAATTCAACTTTGGAGCAACAAGAAATTGTCATAAAAACATTAATCATTAGGTTGCCAGAAAGAAACAAAGGGCTCACTTACAGTGTCTATATAAAGATAGGGATTTGACAAGAACAGGGAAGATTTCCGAAGCCAAACCAGACACTGGTTTCCCCCTATTCTTGTCTCACCCTTTTTTGTAGGGTTTTGATAATTCCTGACCATGCTATTACTCAATTATGTCAAGGCCATTGTATTGGAGTCGGTTCCAAGTGAGGGGGGTGAGAACACTGCAGAGATGAATGCACAGAGGGAATCCATCCATCCCCAGATATTTTAATAGCTTTGTTGACCTTAAAGTAACTAGAGGGAGGGCGAGTTTCTCAGTCCTCCAAGGGACTCAAAGTCTCACCTGTTTGTGTTTATGGCAGGAAGACTGATACTGGAAGGACAGAGAGAACAAGAAAGGAAAAGGGGTAAACTCCACGAACATGAGCGAGAAACAACCAACACCACACCCAACACTGACTGCTGCAAAAGTTAAAAATAAAATAACACAAAGTCAATTTGTTAACCCTTTGGAGACTACAGATTTTATATAACACACAGCTTTCCGAGCTTTTGGCTAGCAGCCTAGAAAGTAGCAGTCGTCTAGGGGTTAAAAATTTAAAATGTAACATTGCATTTATCACTGAATACTGTCGGACAAACTGGTTAGACTGGACTGACTGCCTGAAAAAACCTGTCCTAGGATAAATGCACATCCCTAGGAATCATCTTACCAGCACCATCTTTAATTAGAAAATATGGCCTAAGTCTCTCTGCTGGGACTCCACCCCTGAGATTTACATCACAAGTCCCTGCACCACCTTTAAGAGGGAAATAAAATAAGGTCTCAGATCTCTTCTCCTGAGTCTCCAAAATTGCAATTCATCTCCTCAGCTTTTGTGTTGCTTTTAAATAGAAAGGCTGGGTATTAAAAATAGGAAAAGGAGACAACTCCAAAACTGCACGCACACAGAATAGTAGTACTTGTCATTCAAGACAGACAGAGCCCCACCATTGTCAGAGGGTGGCAGCAGGAACGAAGCTGTGTAGTCCCAAGCAGATAGGTGCTCCATGCCTGCAATGCAGGAGATATAGCTGTGTGCCTGGCCACTCCCTCAAAGCTGTATAATCATCTGGAGGCAGGCAGGGAAGGACAGCAGAGAAAGAACAGCACAAAATAGCAGTGGAAGTTGAAATACTGCAGAAATCCACCCACAGCAAGACCAAACAGAGGACATGTGAATTATGTGCCCCACTGTCCCAATGACTTTACACTGCAAACAGTACAAGTTTAACCTGTGGGAACACAGAAGGGGAGATCTACCTCAGCTCTCCCCTTCCTTCCCCTCCTCCCAAAACAGAGATACATACCCTTCATCTCCTGTTCCCAGTAACTCATTCCTAGAAGGCTACTAGGCACTAATACTGCACTTAGTATGTATGGGCCAGATCCTCAGCTGGTGTAATTCAGTGTGGCTTCATCAACTTCAGTGCAGCTTCACCAATTTACACCAGATGACAATCTGATCCATGTGTGTCTATTGCAAACCCTTCTGTTGTATAAACCTGCTTCCACTTATTACTGAGAGTAAAAACCACAATGGCATGAGAGAGATGCTATAAGAGGGAAACTTAGAAAATAGGCCCTATATTCGGCCTCTTACTCTGCACATCTGAGGTCCCACCTTGACTATTCTTGATTTCTAAGGCAATTCCACCAGGAACACCCAATGGATCTTGCTAGCCAGGAATGGCAAACCCCACTCCCTCCTCAGCCTCATGAGGGCGGGATGTACATGCAAACGGTTTCTTCCCAGGTTCAGTGGGACCAGCACATACTTGAAGTGGTGGTGCACCTTTGACTGATCACATACACCCAACATACCAAGGATGAGACTGCTGTTGGACTCCACACTGGCAGAAACGTCAGCCATGTGCATATTTCTCCTGCAAGCCTTACACCCCTAAATAGTGCCTGTACAATCATCATGCAGAGTTCACTCTGTAATACAATCACTGCTATACATAGTCCTATTAAAAAATCCCAGTTGGGCTGCTATGCACTTCTGGATCTGAGTGGGAGAGAGAGGAAAGGAAAACAATAAGGTATGTGAAACAGAAGGAAACACATGACGGGGGGGGAAGTCAGACAGTGGAAAAAAATACTAGATGTCAACAATAAGTTTGCTCAAATTGACACTGGATTCACTGGCCCAGTTCCACCCACTCTAACAAGGAAGTGAAGGGGTTCACTCCCTGCAGCAATTAGCATAGGGAAAAGAGGGCACCATGTTTTGGTAGAAGGTTGGAACACCTGCAGCAGGCCTTAAGAACAAACACTGCTCAGTGATTCCCCTCCATCCCCCCAGTCAATAGATAACAGCTGGGACAGAGAACAGTGGAACTGGACCAGTAGCACCAAGAAATCCAGCGGGAGCACCAACTTCACAGCAGGAAGTATGGATGGCCTAAAGAAAAAGGTTGTGGGGTTTGTTTTGTTTTGTTTTGGGGGGGTAGAGGGGGGGAGGGGTGCGGTAACATTTAGTAAGAGTCAAACAAAGTCCATCTTGGCCAGACAACCCCAACATCATTCTCCCATGTAAAGTCCCATTACGTCTGCAGCAAGACCTGTGGCTCTGAGAGGGAGCTGTAGAGGGTGTAGCCCAACTCATCCACTTCTTCAGGGGTGAGCTCTGAAAACAAGTTCACCTTGGGATTCAGAGCACTGCGTAAGACACCAGCCTCCAAGTAGCCAATCAGGCCCTTCAATGCCTGCAGGAAGCGGTCAGCTAGCACATCTTGGGACCAGTCAGACTCCTCTTGGGCCAGGTGCAGGATGACATTGGTGAGCTGGCTGGCAGTGAGGCGGCCCAGTGCTGGGTTTGACTTGCACACAGCTTTGAGAATCTTGAGGCACAAGCAACGGCAGCCAGAATCGCCTTGGTCCAGGGCCCGCAAGCGAGCTGTCTCCGCTGGCCGCAAGCTCAGTCGCCACAGATTGTCATACTGGGCCAATCGGTGGGGTTTGGCCACCAGGTTGGTGTCACCCAGTGCCAGGGATGGTAGGAAGTCAATAAGAAGGTGCCGCTCTGGCTCATACTGGACTTCCAGTGTCAGGGTCTCTGGGGGCGCTGCCGGACGGATCACATAGTCCAGTAGAGACCCAATGGCTGGCCAGTTGATGGAGCCTGCTACTACTTTCTCAAAGGTGTCTGCCACAGCCTTGGGGGAGAGGTAGCCCCCCACCACACAGCGGTCCCAGTAGCTGCTCCCACGGGGGAAGTATTCTGGATTTTCCCGACGTACCAGGCAGAAGCCAGGGATGTTCATGATGGTGTCCTCACCTGGTATGCATGACCACAGGTTCTGCTCCAAGACCAGAGGCACAATGAGCTGAATGTGATCAGCTGTCACTACCTGTCAGAAGAGGGGAAAAAAGGGTGAGAGATAACAGTTGAACCTGCTGGGATAAAGCTACCTATCTGCTCACCACACATCTTCCTTCAAATGGGAATCCAAGAGGCTCTTTCTAAGTGGGACTCTCTGCCTTCCTTTCGTCAGGAAACATGCAGAGGGATCATTCTTCATAATCCAGGGGAAAACTGCAGGGCATATTGAAATTTGGTATTTATTCAGCGTTTGCCTGAAAGATCTTTATGCACCTTATGAACTCAAATGGATATACCAACTACAAAACGGATTGTTTCACATACCACTAAATTGAATCCACCTCTTGGGTATGATGTGGCAGTTGTTTCAGCATACAGCAACATTACACAACAGTTTGGGACACGAACTGGAGAATAACTGACAAACTGCAGGGAGAGCTTAAGTTGTCAAATCTGAATCATCCCACAATAGAATCTGGCGCAGGTGCTACAGTCAATCTCCCATTCTCTTAAGGTGTGCTGGGATCTTTAATGATCATATGTGATTAAAACCTCAGATTTAAGTTGCATCCGACATGCAGCACTCCATCCAGGAGCATCGATTCAGTGCTGCCTCAGAAGTGACTCACTCACTGTAGCCTGTAGCCATTTTTGCATCAAAGTGATCTACAGCAGAGCTTGCTCTCCAGTTCAACTCTGCCATGTGTTAACAAAACACACACAAAAAAGTAGGAAAGGCTTACAGGAATATACAAGAGTTCTGAGGGAAGCAACACATTTGGAGGAGGACGTGCAAGGCAAGTGCTGTGGGGAAGGATAGAGAAAAATGGAGATGTGGCAGAGGCAGAGCAGGAAAATACAAAGGGGGCAGAGAAAGAAGGAACTGGGACAGTCAGACAGGAAAAAATGAAGGCAGTAAAGGGCAGATGTTCTACAGACACAGCCAGAACTGCCTGTCTGTTTTGCAAAAACATCACACAAATATATTACCAGGAAATGTGGCATCGGAAGGCTTTTTAAACAGGAATGCTGTACTGAAGCAGCACAGCCAGCAGGCAAGCCTGAAATACCTCTACCCAGTCACCCTGCAGCATAACGGCTACCACACTCCAATGAGTTACCTGCAGATCATCGTACAGGCTGCCACTGAGGTACATGTCACGCAGGGGCATGTCTGGCATCTTGGCACGTAGGAAGCTACGCAGTTCAGCGCAGATATCTACAGCTGCCTGCTTGGCCCGGGCCTGATCTTCTGCAGGGATAGCCACTTTCCTCCGGTAGTAGGCAAAGAGTTTTTCTTGCAGGGACAGGCGGAGGTGCGACTTCTTCAATTCTACTTGGCTCCTCTTGGCAGACGGTTTGGGCTTTGCAGGTAGGAACGCATCTGCCAGGCAAGAGAGAGAAATCCCATAATCCCCAACATTTCATTGCTAAACGTTTGACAGAAATAACTTGGTGGCGCTGAAGTGCAGCCCCCTCCAGGATGGAATTTAGCAGTCATTTTGCAGGCTTTATTATGAGTATCATAGTAGGAGAAAGTTGTGAATAATTTCAACAATGACTACTAAAGGAATTAGGTGGGCAGACAGTAAGTTCCCTGAGTTGGAATTTAACCAGGACAATGAGACTAACACTCTATATCTTGCAAAAAAGAAATTATGTTGATGACTGTAAGTGGGCAGCGCCTGTTAAATTTTATCCAAAAGACAGCAGCCCTTGCAGCACAAGTGCCTCTAACATGATGCAGGAACAATGAACGGACAGAGTACACCTCCCTGAATCACCAGCACTGAGTTTTTCCTGAAGGGCTCCTACAATGTACTAAGCCCAATGCAGTTTAGCTTGTGAGATCTGATGCAGTTACAGTAATTTAAGGTGGTATGTCTGCCGGGGCTGTATTACCATCATAGATCAGGAGGCAGGCCAGAGCAGGTGGGTAAGCAGGAAGACCTAAGAGACGCTGCAGGTCAAGGGCTTGTGTTGTTTCTTGGGAAAGGGAGAAGATTTCCCAAGGATCTCTCTCCCAGACCTTCCATCTGACAGCTAGACCTGAACAGATACCTTCTCAGATCTCATTGATACAACACCTCTTCATACTGAAGCACTTCTCTCTGGTTGAAGCAGCCCTCCCAGCACCAGGGGAAATAATGTACCCCTTCCTCAGGCAGTATTCAAGGAGATAATTTTAAGAGCTGCTGTAATGCCTTTATTCAACTCCTAGAGAACTACCGCACCTTTGGGGGATGACAGAGCCCATTTAATGACTTCAGATGACATAATTCAGCTCTTGACTTAGATGCCCTGGTCATTAAGCTTCTTGCTGCTCCCTCAGTAGCAAATGCCAAAGCCATCCTGGAGTTGGCCTGCTTGCGGAAACAGAGATTTGGACACCAGGTAAACTTCTGTGCCAAGTTATTATTTTGCAGATTCTACATTAAAAACTGGTGATCCTTAGAGGTTGGTTAAAGATCTCAATTTTACCTGGAGAGGGGGTAACAGGATTGAAAGGGCAGCTGCTATAATGTTGAAGGTATCACACTGCTTATTACCTGCGTCTAAAGCTGAAGGGTCAGTGGGGAGGGTCTGTAGGGAACGGCTTAGGTTTGTCTTCATATCCTGGTTCAGTAAACGTGATGAGGACCCCAGCCAGTTTGGCTCCTCCCAGCTTCTCTTTCCTGACTGACTCAAGCGGGTGGGGCTGCTGGGAGCACTGATTGCCCGGTCATACATCTGAAATGGCATCACAGGGACACAAGAAGTTACATTTGTTAAGTGCCCCATCCATTAGGAAGCAACCAGCCCATAGCCCTTCATTGGGTCCTTCCCATCCCCACATTCCTCAGTGTTCATCTCTCTACCCCTCACCTTGTTACCTTCACTATCTCCGTTCTAATGTTCCATGCCCCTCCTCCACACAAGCACATCTTCCTTCCCCTCAGACTTCCCCTCCTCACACTTACTCGTTTGACAGCCAGAGTGGCAATGCCCAGCATGGCAGCTCCGCCCACACCCAACACGAGCCGGGCATTGGATAGCACAAAATCGATGGCTGTGCCAATGCCGTTGTCATCCTTCTTCCCCTTGCGCTCTCCAGCACCTGCCATCTCACCTTGAGAGGAGAGAACAGATTTGTCAGAAAGCTGTACCCCACCAATCTAAACCTCCATCTCCCCAGTCCATTGCTCACTGTTCTTTGGAAGTTAGGATTTCCCACAATGAATCAGATGTAGTCCATCTATTTCTGTATTTTGCCTCCTGCCACATTGGCTTAGACCATGTCTAGTCAGTTATCTTGCCTCCGACAATGGCCAATGTCAGACTCTCCAGAGAAAGGAAATAAAACCCCTTTAATGTCCCTAATTACATGGTATTATAGTCACAGGGAAAACTTCTTCAACTCCAGCTCTCAGTTTATGACCTGAAGCATGATGATTAACAGGTCCTGACATTTCACCTGGGTCATTGCGGAGGCTTTACACATAAATGTAGTAACCCTCACTCTAGTACTAGCACCTGCAACGCTGCAGCACAGAATGCTGTCCTGGGGAGACAGCAAATGAGAGGGCAGCAAAAGCTGAGGAAGGGGCTCAGAATCCACCCAGAGGGGTAGTGGGGGAGCAGTGGAAATAAAGCTGTTAGAGAAGAAGAATCTAGATGCTGAGGTAGCAAGTGAACTGGAGTCTGGGTAGGAGGTGAGGTGATAAAATAAAAGAACCAGAGAATAAAAGTAGGGGACTGAGAATGAGGAAAGAAGGAAAATAGGAAAGGTTTCAGGTCAGGAGAAGCAGAAAAATACACAGACCTGGGCATGTGAGCAGGCACTGTTAGAGAAGGGAAGTAGAAGGAAATACAGTCTACAGACTTACCAGAGAGAGTGTATCAAGGGGGAAAAAAACTGAAAGGAAATATAAGTGATGAAAAATGGAATTGATCAAAAAATTTTTAGATGAAAACAGATCCTGAAAATAGTAAATATGACTCCCACCCACAAAGGACCTAAAGTATATTAACAGAGGCAATGACTGTTTGAGCATCTATTGAAGGAATAGGACTGAAAGGTGCCCAATAGAGAAGTAAGAGCCCTCTAGGTGAAGAAACCCTGCTAGTGGATAAACTCGATGAAAAGAGATACAGCCACAGGAACACCAAATTTAAGAGTACTCCAATCCAAGGGGAAGCAAGAGTGGAGCTGGACCTGCAGCCAAGGAGAGGAAAAGTTGATTCTTCCCTGAAGCGACACAGTATATTGTTAAATAATCTCTTGTTCTTCTTAATAACAATGTATTTGGTACTAACTGCATAGAGTAAGGAAGAATAACATGTACAAGTTCCCAAAGGTTAATGAGATGGTAACACAGTTTGTTATTACAAGTAGCCTTTGGTAACGTTCTATATTATTTAAGTTCCTTGTACAATTTTGGGGTTCTCCCCTATAAAATTATAAAAATTTAAAATGATTCCTTTTGTCTTGGTTTGCCTCTGCCTCTCCTCACAGTTAGCATAGTCTAGCTGGATCACCACATAACTATCTAATGCTTTTTTTAAAATCTCTCTAACATATTTGACTCAGTTATGTCTTGCAATAGTGATTTCTACATGTTAATTATATGTTAAACCATATTACCTTTTATGTCTTTTCCCTTTAATCAGCTGAATACTGTACTAGGGGAAAAAGAAAAGGAGTATTGTGGCACCTTAGAGATTAACAAATTTATCTGAGCATAAACTTCCGTGAGCTACAGCTCACTTCATTGGATGCATTCAGCGTTTTCCACTGAATGCATCCGATGAAGTGAGCTGTAGCTTACGAAAGCTTATGCTCAAATAAATTTGTTAATCTCTAAGGTGCCACAAGTCCTCCTTTTCTTTTTGCGGATACAGACTAACATGGCTGCTACTCTGAAACCTGTACTAGGGGACTGGCCCCTATGCCATTTAATCTCCTTTCCAAACTAGAGAGTCCTAGTCCCCTTCTATAGGATTGCATCTAATTGCAGAAACTACAATCTAGTTGTCCATAGGGGCGAAAAAAAACAAACCAGAATTATTCTAGTGGTGTGCAAGAGCAAAGGAACTGCTGTACTAGATAACACCCAAGGCCTAGTATCCCTTCTCTGACAGTGGTTAGTACCAGATACTTCAGAGGAAAATGCAAGAAGCCCCATAATGAGCAATTATGGATTAGTCTGCTCATAGGGGAAGTTTCTTCCTAATCTCTGGGAGTTTACACCCTAAAGCATGAGGGTTTATCATTTATACAAAGATCATATGCAATGTAACTATAAATGTTCTCATTCAGGGATTCTCAAACTTCATTGAGCCTGCCTGAGCCCACTCCGCCCGGGTGGGAGGGCCAAAGCCCCACCACCCTGGACCAAAGCCAAAGGACTTCAGCCCCAGGCACGGGGCCTGTAACCTGAGTCCTAAACCCAAGGCTGAAGCCCTAGGGCTGTAGCTTTGGCCCCAGGTGGTGGGGTCGGGCTCCAGCCCCAGGCCACAGCAAGTCTAAGCCAGCCCTGGTGACCCCATTAAAATAGGGTCCCAACCCACTTTGGGGTCCCAACCCACAGTTTGAGAACCACTGTTCTCATTCATATGCACGTGTAATTTTGAATCCTACTAAATTATTGGCTTCAGTAGCATATAATGGCAATGAGTTCCACTGCTTAATTATGTGTACAAAAAGTATTTTCTTTAATCACTTTAAAACTTGCCATTTTTCAGATTCATCAAGGATGTAGCTGCACTAGGGAACTTTTCAAAACTATTTTAAAGCCAGTTCTGCTATACTGACTTTAGAACTGGCTAAAGGCACACTATTCACCATGTTTTAGGCAGTTTATAATGGCTACACTTGTTTTTCTGAACCAGTTCCCAAAATCACTTAAAATTCCAAGAACTCAAGAAGGATGGTCTCTGAGCTGAGGAGTTTGCAGTTGCATTACTTTTAGTCACTATACAGAAGATGTAGCAGCTGTCCACAGTGGTACCACTAAAACAGTGGTTCTCAACCAGTAAATAGTCTGGGAATGAAGGCCCTGGGGCAGAACTGTAACTAGGCACTCTAGTGCCCAGGGGAAGCAAGCATATTTGCACCCCCTACCAGAGGTGATGTGGGAGGGGACCACGTGGGGTCATGTTCCCCCACCTCCCAGATTTTTTGGTTGCCCGCTGGTAGACAAGCTGGGTAGCCCACTGAGGTGAGTTGGGATAGAGGTGGTACACCTCCCCCGAGATCTGCTGTGCAGGGCTGGCCCAAGCTGCCCTCACAGCTTTGTTCCCTGGGCAGCTGCACCACTCGCCCAGCTCTTGCTATGGCCCTGCCCTGGGGTGGTTTTGGTCGTATCCTACCCCTGGGGGAGGCTGGATCCTGCCAAGCACTTACCCCACAGTGGCGTCTGCTACTGTGGGGCTGTCTGGGCTTGGCTCTCCGATCTGGCCATTGCAAACTCCAGGGTTGTAGTCCTGCTCAGGTTTAGCCCCATGACGCCAGCTGAACCAAATTTGTATGAGTTGCATTGTGACCTGGCTCATGTGATTGCAGTACAATTCACTCAAATTTGGCCTAACCAGTCTTCCGTCATGACAGCTGGGCCAAACCTGAGTGGCACTGGGAACACAGAGGTTGCAGTGCCTAGAGCAGGGAGGTGAGCCCAACCAGCCCTGTACGACGGGAACCACAGAAGCTGCCACATGACCCTTTGAAACATTCTGGCGACATAATTTTGAGTCCCTACTCATGGGTTGAGAAACCCTGCAATAAAACAAACAAACAACAACAAAAAGCATACTATGTGGCTGCGAATGACCTACCTAAGGCTTAATGCATCTGTGAGGGGAACACCGGAGTACTGCTTGTACAGATGGATATTCAGGCACCCTCTGGACTTTCTTCTTCACATTTGTGGTGGGCAGAAGATATTAACCATCTGTCCAGGAAGATTAACGGTTTTGGAAGGAGAAAAGAAGGAAGCGGGATAAGAGCAGGGGGAGGCAAAGACTCTAAACCAACCCTCCCAGTCTATTGTTCAGGAAGGCCTGTCCCTTCTCCAGTTGTCTTTCTCTGTCTTCAAGCCGATCCAGCTGCTGGTTCTTGCGGAACTCACGCCGGATCGAGGCAAGGTAGAAATCACGGTCGGTGTAGCGTAGACCACGGCCCTGGCGCAGCAGAGCGCGATAGAGATTCAGCACTGCCTCACGGGACCACGCTGCCATGGGGGACAGATGCAGGAGAAGGCAAACTGAAGAAAAATGGATGAGTGAAAGTCAACATTTGTTTCCCAGTTGCATTTCGCTGTCTCCCCCGTGCAAGTCTCCCTGATACTTTCTTCACAAGCCACTGGGAAAGGGGAACCCAAGGGGATGGATTTCCACCGGGGAAAGAGCGGGAAACTTAGTGCAGAGGAAAAGATCCCTACAGAGGGGGCAGAGAACAACCTCACTCTATCTGCCAGCAAAGCAGAAAGAGGCAACAACACAAAACAGAGACACTGTAAACCCCGCCTAAGCACGACACTAAACCCCCCCCGGCCCCACCGAGACTCCCTGGATCAGCTCCGCCAGCGCCTGCCCCCGCCCGGGCTTCCCCTGCCAGGCGCTGCACGGAAGCCACCTGCTGGGGCGGGGGGAGACCCCGCGCGGGCGGAACCCTCTGCGGGCTGAGGAAGGGCCCCGGGGAGCAGCGCAGGGCGGGATCCCTGAGGGGGAACAAGACGCTGGAAAGCGGTTTGGGGGCAGGAGGGGTCCGGGCCCGCTGCAGGGCGACCCCCGGCGGGGCGTGGGGAGGGGCCTCGCCCGGGACCCCGCTCACCCGGGAAGCGGGAGCTGTTTCTCAGTCCCTCGACTCTCGCCCACCCCGCAGCCTCCCTCCCGGCACGGCTTCCCCGGGGTCACCCAGCAACATGGCCGCTTCGCTTCCGGGGCGCGACCCCGAGCGGCCAACCAGCGAGAGCGAGCGGGAGCATAGATGGTCCGCGCGGGGAGGGCGAATTCCGCTCATCGCGGCGCGCGGCGGGGAAGGGCGCTCAGGGCTGCCCCCATCCGGCCGGCGGTGCTGTACGCAGCGCGAGTGGGGACAGCTTGGTCCCTCCTCGCTTGCCCCCTCCCCTCCGGCGGCGGGACGTGGCAGAGCCCAGGCCTGTCCTGAGTGGCGTGACACGTCACTGGCGCGTGGGCGAGCCCCAGCGGGAAGCGAGGCGCGCGCGGGAGGCCGCCCTGCCGCTCTCCCTGGGCTGAGCGGGCCTGCCAGGCTCGGGTGCAGGCCGCCTTGTCACTTCCCCTCTCTTCCTATGCATTCATTCGTGTGTCCGACTCGGCAATGGAAGAGCGCCAGTCCAGTTCTCGGCCTGCCCTGGGTAATCTTTGAGACGTGCCCTGTGTAAACAAACAGACTCATTCTTTACCCCCAGATCCAATCAGGTGGAACAAGAGATGCCTTCGCAAATTCTTAAGATTCAGATCCTTTGTCGTTTGGTGTCTGTTGGGGTGTGGGTGGGGTGCTGTTGGGGTGCGTGCGGTAAATTTGCATCGGGATTTTGTGGTTAAGGAAGGGAGTGTTTGTTGTGTTGCTTTAGGTGACAGCAAAAGGTCAACGGTTTTTTTTTTTGTTTTTTTGTCTGTTCCGCCCTGAAATTATTCTTGGGCAAGTCCCAGTTTGTGTGCAATACTTGCTTTCAAAACCGCAGCTGGACGGTTGCTGTTGAAGTCTTGTTCTAGCTTGTGTTAAAGTGCAGTTCTGCTCTGAAAAGTGACTTTGTACAAATTGTGGGAGAGGGCTCCATGTTTATTGTCTCTCTTTGGGTCCAATATAAATATATGCTCAGTGTACAATAAAACAGATTTATTTAAATTGCCTTTGCCTCCCCTTTTTCCCTTATTTTGAATATATAAAGGAAGCCTGAAAGATTATTTGCTTCCTTTCTTTTAATTTTTTTTTCTTGCTTTTTTAAATATTAGAAATACCAGTAACTAAGTCAGGGTTGGTTTGTTTGTTTTCACTGGAGAACTTCTGGGGGTTCTCAGTAGGGTGACCAGATAGCACAGGGGTGGCCAACCTGTGGTTCCGGAGCCCCATGTGGAGGTTGGGGAGAGGGAGGGATAGCTCAGTGGTTTGAGCATTGGCCTGCTAAACCCAGCCTTGTGGGCTCAATCCTTGAGGAGGCCATTTAGGGATCTGGGGCAAAAATTGGGGATTGGCCCTGCTTTGAGCAGGGGGTTGGACTAGATACCTCCTGAGGTCCCTTCCAACCCTGATATTCTGTGATTCTTCAGAAGTTAATATGCAGCTCCTGGTGTAGGCACCAACTCCTATGGAGCTACAGGTGCCAACTTTCCAATGGGCCAGGGGGTACTCACTTCTTAACCCCAGGTTCTGCCACAGGCCCTGCCCCCACTCCACCCCTTCCTGCTCCCTCCCCTGAGACTGCCATGCCCTTGCTCCTCCTCCTGCATGCCATGAAACAGCTGATCGGGGTGCAGGGAGGGAAGGGGAGGTACTGATCAGTGGGGCTGCCGGTGGGTAGGAGGCGCTGGGAGTTGGGGGGGTGCTCTTGGGGTGCTGCTAACTTATTACTGTCACTCTTTGGCAATGTATATTGGTAACGTGTGGCTCCTTCTCAAGCTCAGGTTGGCCACCCCTGAGATAGCAACTGTGAAAATATGGCATGGGGGTGGGGGGTAATAGGCGCCTATATAAGAAAAAGACCCCAAAAATGGGACTGTTCCTTTACAAACGGGACATCTGGTTACCCTAGTTCTCAGAAATGCTTATTGTGAACTCTCAAACCTTAACTGAAAGGCTAGGAGTGTTGACACTTTTACAAAATAATCCTTTCAGCCAAATGTTTGTTAGGCATTAGAGGTAATTATGTGTAATTTTAAACTGTCTGACTTTAAAACCATTCGCCCTCTCAGCCTGTTATATTTTGTAATGTCAGAACTTCTCTAGTTCTCCAGGTACCTACAGCTCTGTCTACATTAGGGAAATTTGACAAGCCATTGCTAGCACTGATTCAGCTCCACCGGTGTTAGCAATGGTGGGAGCTCTAGTGTCCTTGAGCCAGTAGCTGCCATTACTGTTTTAAGCACTATGTTGGTTATGTGCTCATCAAGTGAGAGCCACAATTAACAGCTCTCTCTGTAGTTCTGTCTAGAAACATACTTCCCATTTAAACCTTCCCATTGAACAAAACACTCAATTTAATGTTTTTCTTGAAATGCTTCTAGGATATTCCTATACTTTACATATACAAATACCAGTACAGAAAATATGGCTTCACATTCAACAGCAACCCTAGACTGGCTACACCAAAATGCTGCTCTAGTGTAGATGAGGCTCCAGAGTTCATGTCCCAAATGGCTTTTTGTATTCCTTTCACACAGATTGCTTTTGAAAGCAGAGCACTCTCTACCCCTGTACAATAGGGGAAGGAAAAGTTAAACAAAAAAGTTGTCAACAATCTTTTCCATCTCTCTAAATGCATGCAAATACCATTGCTGGTGATAGTCTCTAAATCTGTTATTAATTTCTAGAGCCCTGTGTGGATACAAAATTTGTAACCGCATTTGATCTGCGATCTGCAAAAATGATCTGCGTATATGCACGGATTTGCAGGGCTCTATTAATTTCTCCCTCTCTGTTCAACATGCTGTCTTCCATGTGAATGGCCAAGGTCAACCAAAAACCTAATGACTCCCCACATAATCTAGTCAACTCTTTTTCTTAAAGAGGTTTCAAAAATCTTGACCATTTATAAAAAAAAAAATTAATTCCACTTCATTAATAAACATCTTACTAAGCTGTGCCCTTGTAAAAAAGCAAGGAGGTATACATTTGAAGAACCCAGGCTAATTGATTAATCCTCCCAGCTTTTTAAATAGTAGCGTAAATTTATATTTAAAGTACATTTTTTCAACAAGTCCTAATGTACTAGCTCAGTGGTTCCCAAACTTGTTCCGCGGCTTGTGCAGGGAAAGCCCCTGGCGGGCCGGGCCGGTTTGTTTACCTGCCACATCCGCAGGTTCAGCCGATTGCGGCTCCCAGTGGCCGCGGTTCGCTGCTCTAGGCCAATGGGAGTTGCTGGAAGCAGCGTGGGCCGAGGGATGTACTGGCCGCTGCTTCCAGCAGCTCCCATTGGTCTGGAGCAGCGAACCGTGGCCACTGGGAGCCCCGGCCGAACCTGCGGACGCAGCAGGTAAACAAACCGTCCCAGCCCCCAGGGGCTTTCCCTGCACAAGTGGCGGAACAAGTTTGGGAACCACTGAGCTAGCTAATGTGTATGGCCCCAAATAAACAAACCACTTACACATGTTTTTAACTTTAAGCAGATGAGTGCTCCCATTGCTGTTCAACAAAGCATTTAAGGACACTGGTGGTATTTAAGCACATGCTTACAGGTAGGCATGTGTTTGAGTGCTAGGGATGGGATTACTTATGTGCTTTTAAACATGTGCATAAGGCCTTGATTCAGCAAAGCACGTAAGCACTTTCTTAAGTCTCATTGACTTCAGTAGGCCTTAAGCATGTATTTAAGTACTTTGCTGAAGTGGGACCTATGTGCACCACTCCCCTGTACTGAATATAGGCCTGGGCAAGTAAGTGAGAGTGTTCTCTGTGTGATTTCAGGTTGTCCTTTATTGGCTGGCTCACCATGGAGATGAATTTGAAAAGGTGACTCATGGAAAGTCTCTTCTAGCTCACAAGGTAGAGGCCTGTGCTTTTTGGAGCAGCAGGTCTTGAGTTGTATTTTAGGGATTGTTAAAACTCTGTTCTCTAAACATAATTAAAACCATATAATTAAAAAATAAGTCATAATACATCCAGATAATGTTCTTAAAGTAATAGAACATAAAATAGCATAAGGTTATAATAAAATATCTTATACTAGAGGTAATAAAAATATACAAGAGAACTTTTAACCCAATCAAATCTAATTCATCAAACTGTCATGCTA